TGACAATACCAGTGTCAAATAACTCACACTCTTGGGAGAACCAAGATGGCGGCGTAAGGTACAGACCTGTGCGTGCTGCCTCCCACAACAATATCGAGACTACCAACTATAATACAAACAGTTATCATTCAGAACCATGGGAAAGCTGGCCCAGTGGAAGCTCTACAACTGGAAGGAAAGAAAGAAAGAGAGGAGAACCAAGATGGCGGCATAGGTTAACGCCGGAGTTTGCTGCTTTGAACAACTACTTCAAAAGTGAAACCAAAAAACGGAAGGGACAGCACCCAGAACCACAGGAACGCCGGCTGAGTGGAAGTCCTACAACTAGGAGGAAAGAGAAACGCATACGGACACTCAGAGGAGGCGCAGAGCTGAAGTCAAATTCTGAGGTGCGGAGTTTGCGGAGCGGGCTGGCGGCGGAGGGCGCGGTTGGCGTTTTCAATCGGGAGGGAGTCGCAGACTCTGAGCTCCAGATCCGGGCGAGTCTTTAGGGACCCAGACTCAAACGGGAGAAGCGGGACTGTCTGGCTTCGGTCAGAGCGAGTGCAGCTTTCTCTCTGAGCTTTGCAGCGGGTGCTGGGACTCAGAGAGGCAGAGCCCTTGGGGACAGTACTGAGAGCCGCCATAACTGCTCTCTCCGGCCCACCCTGTTGATCCTGTGCGACCCGCCCCGCCCAAGCCCTGCACAGAGGCATTTGCCGGATAGCCTCAGGCAAAGGCTAGATTAGCACCTCCCTAGAGGACAGAAGTTCTCTCACTGCTGACACAGCTGATTCTCATAGCCACTTGGCCTGGAGGTCAAACCCTCCCTGGAATTAGCTACAACAATCAAGATTTAACTATAAGACTGCGAACAAAGACCACTAGGGGGTGCACCAAGGAAGCATAACAAAATGCGGAGACAAAGAAACAGGACAAAATTGTCAATGGAAGATATAGAGTTCAGAACCACACTTTTAAGGTCTCTCAAGAACTGTTTAGAAGCCGCCGATAAACTTAATGAGATCTACAAGAAAACTAATGAGACCCTCGATCTTATATTGGGGAACCAACTAGAAATTAAGCATACACGGACTGAAATAACAAATATTATACAGACTCCTGACAGCAGACCAGAGGAGCGCAAGAATCAAGTCAATGATTTGAAATTCGAGGAAGCAAAAAACACCCAACCGGAAAAGCAAAATGAAAAAAGAATCCAAAAATGCGAGGATAGTGTAAGGAGCCTCTGGGACAGCTTCAAGCGTACCAACATCAGAATTATAGGGGTGCCAGAAGATGAGAGAGAGCAAGATATTGAAAACCTATTTGAAGAAATAATGACAGAAAACTTCCCCCACCTGGTGAAAGAAATGGACTTACAGGTCCAAGAAGCGCGGAGAACCCCAAACAAAAGGAATCCAAAGAGGACCACACCAAGACACATCATAATTAAAATGCCAAGAGCAAAAGATAAAGAGAGAATCTTAAAAACAGCAAGAGAAAGAAACTCAGTTACCTACAAGGGAATACCCATACGACTGTCAGCTGATTTCTCAACAGAAACTTTGCAGGCCAGAAGGGAGTGGCAAGAAATATTCAAAGTGATGAATACCAAGAACCTACAACCAAGATTACTTTATCCAGCAAAGCTATCATTCAGAATTGAAGGTCAGATAAAGAGCTTCACAGATAAGGAAAAGCTAAAGGAGTTCATCACCACCAAACCAGGATTATATGAAATGCTGAAAGGTATCCTTTAAGAAGAGGAAGAGGAAGAAAAAGGTAAAGATACAAATTATGAACAACAAATATGCATCTATCAACAAGTGAATCTAAGAATCAAGTGAATAAATAATCTGATGAACAGAATGAACTGTTGATTATAATAGAATCAGGGACATAGAAAGGGAATGGACTGACTATTCCTGTGGGGGAAAGGGGTGTGGGATATTCGGGAAGAGACTGGACAAAAATTGTGCACCTATGGATGAGGACAGTGGGTGGGGAGTGAGGGCGGAGGGTGGGGCGGGAACTGGGAGGAGGGGAGTTATGGGGGGGAAAAAAAGAGGAACAAATGTAATAATCTGAACAATAAAGATTTAATTAAAAAAAAAAAAAAAGAGCACTGAGACTGAGTAGGTTGTGCAGAGGCTCCAAGAACGGAGGTACGGAGTTGCGTGCCAGGCAGACTGCAACTGGATGCTTGGTTTTTTTCAGTCGGAAGGGGTTGCAGACTCTCGAGTCCACTGAGCTGGTTTGGGGTGGAATTCTGAGATCCCAGACCCCTACAGGGAGAGGAGGGACAGCCTTGCAGTGGGCCGGAGAGCAAGAGTGGCTGTCTCACGGAGCTGCTCGCCAGCACTCGGGGACACGAGACACTGAGAAGCAGAGAGGCGAGGAGTTGCAGAGATGCCATTGCCCCTTGCTCCGCCCTGGTGATTCCTGGGGACCCTGCCCTACTCAATTTACATCCCCACCCAAGCTGTGCTAGTGGCACAAAGAGAACCACCGGCGCTTTTGCAGCCCAGCCCAGCAGAATGCCGATTTCAACTCTTCGCATACATAGGGGACACACTCAAGAAGCAGAATCAGGTTCGGAGGAAGCCGGAGCCGGACCCGGCTGGGCCGGCGACATGGAACTGCTATACCAGCAAATGCACAGGCAGGTCCACCAGATCCAGTCTCACATGGGACGCTGGGAGACGGCAGACAGGCAGTCTGTGCACTTGGTAGAAAACAAAATCCAAGCAAGCATACCAGATATTCAGCCACCAGGAACACCTGGAGATTTTGTCCAGCGGGGAGCTGCCCAACAAAGGACAAGGTGCCAGACTTGTTGCTGGGATGGCTCCCATGGGGCTGAGACGGCCCCCATGAGGCTGAGATGGCCCCGGTGAGGTTGAAACGGCCCCTGTGAGGTTGAGGCGGCCCTTGTGAGGCTGAGACGGCCCTTGTGAGGCTGGGACGGCCCCTGTGAGGCTAAGATGGCACCTGTGAGACTGAGACGGCCCCTGTGAGACTGAGACGGCCCCTGGGAAGCTGAGAAAAATTCCACATGAACTCACTCATTTGTGGATAATAAGGACCATTATAGACTGATGAACAAAAATGGATACAGAGGCAGAGCAGCATTGAGTGGAATGTCAAACTACAGTGGGAACCCCTGGGGAGGATTGGGGGCGGGTAGGAGATCAACCAAAGGACTTATATGCATGCATATGAAAATAACCAATGGACACAAGACACTGGGGGGTGGTGGAAGCCAGGGGAATGTCAAGGGGGAGGAGGGAAGGAGACATGGGTAATACTCTTTGTAATACTTTAAGAAAAAAAAATAACTCACACTCTCTTTATGGCCCACATCTCTCCCTCCCTATGTTCATGACAACCACTTACTGACAACAGGCAGTGTGGTCTACATGTGAGGCCTAGAGTTCAGGTATCTTTTATATGCTCATTGGCCTTTAGTATTCTGGGAAAATACAGTATCAGTAGGAATATAAGCAGAGAGTAACTTTGATCGGACCATGGCCTGGTATCTTTGATGAAGAGGGAGCAGATGAATATGGAGTGTGGGGAGTGTGACAAATGTAAAATCCTAGGAGAGAATCTGATGATGGAATGAATTGTCTCCAACTTTGAGGACCTGGCCATTGCCTTCTCTCAGGAGGAATGGGGGCTCCTTGATGAGGCTCAGAGACTTGAGTACTGTGATGTGATGCTGGAAGTTTTTGCACTTGTATCATCTGTAGGTAAGACCTTCACATCTATATTAGTGTCCTGAGTTGTTCTCTCTCCCATTATTCTGCAGATGTAGCTCTCAGGGCCAGATGATGGGTTCTGCTAATTTCTCCCTCTGTCCTGTCAAATGTGCTATTGCTGCCAGTGCTGAGCTGTATGGAGAGCCCTGAGCAATAGACTCACTAAACATCCCTAACATCCATTGCTTCGGAAAGTGTAGGGAGTGTGTGGAAGTTTTACGTCTTGCATACAGCTTAATGGGACCCACATTAACTTCCTCTTCCTAGGAAGGTGACTGTGTCCAAATCCATGACTTCCACTTCTGTGCCCTTTCTCCAGTTAAAGCTTCTTTATGAAAGCCTGTGCCATGTTATGGGATTTACTTACATGAACCATGTGCAGTTCTTGTTAGACCCTCCTTTCATTGTTTGAAATATTCTCTTCCCTGAATACTATTGCATGCTGAGTTGCTCTGGGCCAGTGCTGGCTACTTACCTCTGCTGTCCTTCACTTATACTTGAAATATTTAGGTTTTTGCGTACTTATACAGAGAAGGTTCAGGGAGAACCATTGTGTATTTCAAAAGGTGAACATGCAGGATGATCTTAGAGGAGGCTTGGTCCTGTTGAGTTGCAACTGGGAGAAGCATGACTTAAGTGCTGTGTTTAGATCATACTGAGAACCTGCACATTTCCAACAGTGTTTAGGTGCAAGTGCCACTTCTACTTTTTCTTTTCCATACTGGACACTTTGCTGAATCATTATTTTATCTGTGACTTCCTGGCTTTTGGCTACCTTCACCTTTGTGGCCTTTTTGCATCATTTGTCCCCCTGCAAGGTTTTCTCTGCAGTGTTCTCCAACACAGACCTGCTGATGTGTTATGAGGTGCACATGCATGCTTAAGTAGACCTCGAATACCAGCTATTCATTTATTGAATTTTAATTGGACTAAGATGTAACCAATTTTCTGCACAGCTTACCCAAGTCACAAGCAGACAAGCCCTGCTGAATGCTGTTAGCAGAAGAATGAGCAGATGATCCTCTGCTGTTCTATGTGGTGCTTGTCATGCTTGTATTATATTTTGTTTGAGGTCACCCTTGTTTTTGACCTTCAGTAGCCAGAACTTCATAGCAACATCTTTTAAATCCTTCCTGCAAATATTTTATTTTCAGCCAGTTGCATGAAGCCAAGGTACTATGTGGAACACACTTTTGCAATGGGACTTCCTCTTGTCACCAGTCAACATTCATTTCCTCACCATTTTTCTGTTTTCAGGTTGTTGGCGTAAAACAGAAGATGAGTCCTGTCCTGACCACAGTGTATCTATACAAGGAGAGTCACAGGTCAGGGCTTCTAAGACAGCACCAGCAACCCAGAGGACCCATCTCTGTAAGCAGTGTGTCTCAATGTTAAAAGATATTCTGCACCTGACTGAGTCACAAGCAACATACTTTGAGCAGAAAGCCTCTTGTAGTGACACATGTGGGAGAGATTTCTGTTTCAGTGCAAACCCTCACCAGCAACAGCGGGATTCTTGTGGAGAGAAGCCCTGGCAAGAAGCTATGAACAGGGCCTCGTTTATGACCAGATTAAACTTCTGCTTATCAGGGCTGCCTTCAACCAATAGAGAGGTTGGGTTTGACTTCCAAGCTCTCTCAAGGATTCTCCAGCACCAGACCCCTCTTAACACTGAGGAGCCACACAGTGGAACTCAGATTTCACAGACATTTCTCAAGGGAAAAAGTCATCATGAATGGAGTGAACATGAAAAAGCTGCCAGCCACAAGCAGAAAGTTTTTCAGTGTTACAGTGTGTGCTCTGGAGAAGTGAACTATGAGAGTAACAAATGTGGGAAAGTTTTTAGATGTACTGTTAACTTCAATAGACCCTGGAGAGTTCACACTAGAGAAAAGTCTTATGAGTGTATTGATTGTGGGAAGCCCTTCCATCAAAAGTCTTCTCTCACTAAACAAGACAAAGTTCACACTAGACAAAAATCTGTCGAGTGTAGTGAATGTGGGAAATTGTTTAGGTGCAATAGTCTCCTCCTTAAACACAAGAGAGTTCACACTGGAGAAAAGCCGTATCAATGTAGGGATTGTGGGAAGTCCTTCAGTCAAACCTCTCACCTCATTCAACACAAGAGAGTTCACACTGGAGAAAAGCCATATGAGTGTACTGATTGTGGGAAGTCCTTCAGTCATAGGTCTACCCTCACTGAACACCAGAGACTTCACACTGGTGAAAAACCTTATGAGTGTAGTGAATGTGGGAAGTCTTTTAGGTCCAATAGTCATTTTCGTTACCACAAGAGAGTTCACACAGGAGAAAAGCCATATGAGTGTAATGATTGTGGGAAGTCATTCAGACAAAACTCTGCTCTTACAGAGCATCAGAGAGTTCACACTGGAGAAAAGCCATATGAGTGTAGTGATTGTGGGAAGTACTTCAGTAATAGCTCTAACCTCCTTAAACACCACAGAGTTCACACTGGAGATAGGCCTCATGAGTGTATTGAATGTGGGAAATCTTTTTGCTACAAATCTGCCCTCGTTCGACACCTGAGAGTTCACACTGGAGAAAAGCTTTAAATGTGAAGGCAACGTTTTATCTTTCTCACTCAGAATAAAAACACAAAAGGAGAATCTTTTAGACCCATTTAACTCAATATAAACCCCTTTTATTGGACCATAGACTCTGCTAGATTCCTCATAAGTTTCATGTACAAGTGAGGCTTTAAAGAGCTTCATTGCATTTGCTAATCTGCTCAGGCCTACAACCTGATTTATTCATAGTAATGTTTATCGCTAGCTACACATTTCCCCATCTTTCAGGTAATTTGTAGATACCATCCCAATAGAATGTTTCTTGTTTTGAGGCAAACCATTCAGAGACCCAATTTTTCACTTCTTTGTACATTTTGAAGTGCTGCTCAGAAAGTGCATGTGCCATCTATTGGAACAAATAGTAATCTGAAGAAGCAAGGGCTGGTGAATACGGTGGGTGGGTTAATACTTCTCAGGCAAGTTCTTTCAATGTGTCTTTAACTGGTTTTGAAGTGTGTGATAGTGCGTTATCATGAAGCAAAATTACTTTGCAGCGTCTTCTGCCACATTCTGGTCGTTTCACGATCAAAGCTTCGTTCAAATTGATTATTTGTTGTTGGTAATGATCAGTATTAACGGTTTCACCTTGTCTTAGAAGCTCATAATACACCACACCTTCCTGACCCCACCAAACGCAGAGCATTGTCTTCTTTCCGAAGCAATTTGGCCTTGCAGTCGATGTTGATGATAGACCTCGATCAACCCATGATTTTGTGTGTTTGGGATTCTCAAAATAAATCCACTTTTCATCACCAGTCACAATTCGATGCGAAAAAGACTTTCTTTCATGCCATTGAAGCAACATTTTGCTGATGATTTTTCGGTTTTCCATTTGTTTTTCGTTCAGTTGATGTGGCACCCATTTTCCTTCCTTTAAAATCTTTCCCATTGCTTGTAAATGATCGGAAATTGTTTGTTGAGCAAAGTTTAATCTTTTTGCAAGTTGTTTTTGAGTTTGACACACATCTTCATCCAATAATGCTTGTAATTGTTGGTCTTCAACATTTTTTGGTTGACCTAGCTGTTCTTTGTCTATTCAGCAGAGCCAAATATCAACAGTACAACGATTGAAATTTCTTTTGAGAGCCAAATTTTTTAAACTTAAACTACATAGGTAAGTACATTGTTATTAACTTAATTAGGGTACTCCTAAGGCTTAGGAAGAGCCACACTCAAGGGGCCAAAGAGCCACATGTGGCTCTCAAGACGCAGTTTGCCAACCACGGGTCTAGGTCAGTGATGGCGAACCTATGACACGGTGTCAGAGGTGACACGTGAACTCATTTTTTTGGTTGATTTCTCTTTGTTAAATGGCATTTAAATATATAAAATAAATATCAAAAATATAAATCTTTGTTTTACTATGGTTACAAATACCAAAAAATTTCTATATGTGACACGGCACCAGAGTTAAGTTAGGGTTTTCAAAATGCTGACACGCCAAGCTCAAAAGGTTTGCCATCACTGGTCTAGGTCATCGAAATCATCACTTTTAAAGCATTTAAACCAGCGTTCACAAGTACCTTGAGATGGAGCATGTTTACCATAGCTTCCAGAAGTATGTGATAACTTTCAGCAGAACTATTCTTCAAAATAAAGTAATGAATTAAAACTTCCTGCAAACTTCTTTTTTTGACATGAAATTTGACATTTTAAGCATAAAAATATATATGATGTTAACACCTTCAGAAAATTTGACATATTAAGTTTTGAAGCTTGTTGTCAATACAACAAAATAGCATACATATCAAATCGCATATACTAGTATATCAGCATATGTGTAACTCCACCTATTGAAAAATATCTGCATTATTAACTGGTACCCCTGGTAAATGCAAGTATTTGTGTGGAAGCTGTTTCCCATCTTACACCTGCCTCACCTGAAGAGTATGTACCAGTCACAACCTCTGCATGCTCAGGGGTTTTGCTTGAAAAAATTATGAATACTTTGAGCTCCTGGCGGATCTTCATTCCTTTCTCTCTAATTGGAGAAATTGACCTGACCCAGGTTTCATCCAGGGCACTCATCCTCAGCTAAAAAGTGCTACCTCTGTCAGGGACATTGTGGTTTGCACATTATGCTGTGATGAATTGTTTCAGGTTCTAATTCACCAACCTGCAAACTTGCTGTCCTTTGCTCTCATTCATGATCTTTTTATAAAGGTGATTTTCTTTTATACCTTTAATTTTGTTGGTTCTATTTACTCCCTATGATGAAAGGAAAGTTGTGATCTGTCAGCATGGAGAAGTAAACAGTTATGTTGGGGTCCCAAACTTTCTGTGCTTTGGAAGGTACAACATGATGGTAGAAAACCACTCTTTGTCCAATATTGGCTTATTTTGTATTGCTGACCAAGGCCTTGAAAGAAAGACTGCATGATGCATGACTCTGTGGTTCTAATTTGCATTCTGTTGCCTCTTTTATTGGTGAAGTCAATGGTCTTCGTGAAGAGGAGGCCTTTGCTATTTTTCTGTGAACAATATGAATTATACTCTTTGCTCACAGTGTTTTACATAATTCTCAGCAATGGTTAGGGGAAATTCTCCGCATATACTGTAAAGGAGCCATGGGCCATGATGTCTGAGGTTTCATTGGCTGGTGTCATTTGTTTGTAGAACTCTGATGTTTAGATGGAATCACAGGACAGAAACACTGTATTCATGGTGAATGGGACAGACTGCAGTAAATCAGATGAAAAGTGCCTCTTCTGAATGTTATCCACAAATGATCCAGGACCTGTGGCTTTTGTGATCTTTGTGTACAAACACTCTCAGGACCTCCATAATTGTTTCCTGGGGCTGAAGTCATTGGCAAAAAAAATAATCTAACGGGTTTTTTTTATTCCCTTGGCTGCTCTAGGTTCACCTCAAGGTTTGCTCAATAGGCAAGACAGCAAACCTAGAGGAAGGATAATCCTGTAATCAGTCTCAGGATGTGTCTTTTGTAACCAGTGAGAATTGCTGTTGATTCTGATGGTAATAGTCTTCACTGCTTGCCAGTATTTGCTGACACTGAGGCAAGGCTGTTCCTCCCAGCAAATGAGAATTGACATACAAGGAAGTGTACTTTTTGCCCTGGCGGGTTTGGCTCAGTGGATGGAGCGTCGACCTGCGGACTAACGGGTCCCAGGTTCGATTCTGGTCAAGGGCATGTACCTTGGTTGAGGGCACATCCCCAGTAGGGGGTGTGCAGGAGGCAGCTGATCGATGTTTCTCTCTCATCGATGTTTCTGACTCTCTATCCCTCTCCCTTCCTCTCTGTAAAAAATCAATAAAATATATTTAAAAAAAAAGAAAGTGTACTTTTCTAATGTGTACTATTTGGTGAGCCTTGACATAATGATAAAACTATGAAATTGTCATCATCTGAAATACGCTTATCTGTCACCGATATAATTGTCATCATCTGACATACGCTTATCTGTCACCGATATAGAGTGGGACAAAAGTTGACTTACAGTTGTGAGTACACTAAACACAGAACTTATTCTTTTTAAAAAATATTTTTAAATTACTTTGATTTTCTTAGGGTGAGAGAAGGGAAAGGGAGACAGAGAGATGCATAGTTCTCTTGCCTCCTCCCTGCCCTCTACTGGGATGGAGATGGGCATGTGCCCTGACCTGGAATGAATGCAACGACCTTCCCATGAATGGGACAATACCCAATCAACTGAGCCATCGCTGTGAGGGCAGAGTATATTCTTGTATTATTATTTTTTATTAATTATTATATTTTCCCCATACCAACAAATCTAAACCTACTTTTGGTACACCCTACTTTTACCTCCTACACTTTTATAATCTTTCTGTTTTCCCCAACCCTCAATGCAGTCATTGATTTTCCTTCCTTTACAATAGATTAGTTCATATTTTTCATAATTTTATAGGCACTGTAAGGTATGTTCTTTAACAAATACTGGTTTTCTTCATGCTACACAGTTATTTTGAGATTCAACACTTATGCTTATATGAATATTTAATTTATTATTGGTGAGTAGTATTGTGTTAAAGTCTGGATAATGACTTTATTTATTGCTTTGTCTATGACTGTGGTTATTTCCAGGTTTGTAGTATCATAAATCTGGCATGAATATTTGTGTTCAGTTTTCTCTCTCTACATATATGTTTTACTTATCAAACTGTTGTGTAGCTGAATGTTTTACACTTTAAGATGTGACCCAAAATGGTCATTGTTTTAGCCTTCCAACAAACCCACAGTATTTTTAAAAATCCAGTTTTTCTGCAGCCCTGCCAGCACATGCAATTGTTAATCTTTTTAATGAGTACCTTGAAAATGAGTATAGGTTAACTCGCTTTTGTTTTAATTCTATTTACCTAAGAATTTTTGATGGTGAACATTTTTTCATACATTTATTTACACTGTCTTTATCTCTTTTGTTAAAATGTCTTCTCAGAATCTTTTGCCAATTTTTAAATTGAATTTATTATTTTACTGAGTAGCAGGACAGTGCAGCATTTAAGACGTATGTTTCAATTTCATTCACTCCTCAATGACTCCATGCCAGAGACCACTGCATAGCTGTATTAGCATGAAAGTGCAAAAGAGACAGTGGAAGGCAGATGGACCTTGATCTCAGCAGGGCTGAATCAGCATAGAGTGCTCCGCTGTGATTGTGATGGCTCAAGGCGATTTCCTGACCTGATCGTCTTTACATTGATAACTAAACTTTACTGAGCTTTACTGACCTTTGATTCTATCTGCTCTGCCTGCATGCATTGCTAAAGGGCAAATGTGTAACCAAACTGAATAAAAGAGGCAGGACTCAGACTCGTGTGTTCCTCTTCTTGCAAGAGGCTCCACCTGGCCTCCCATGCCTTAAAAATTCGTATTTCTTGTGTAGTATCTTCATTGTGCGTCGGTTCTCCTACAGGTTGTTATAAGGAGAAATTACCCGCGAGACAGGAAACCACGGCAAACCAAGAATTTGGTGAAACAGATCCTCTCCCTTGCCAATCTGGAGAGGGAGTTTCTTTATTAGCAGATTTGAATCCAGGCTGCCGCTGCGGCAGGGCGCGCGCAGGAAGCAGCCCTGAGCGGTTACAGTTACAGCTTTTTATACACGACTCAAAATAGGGGTGGGGTGTAACAAGGACAAAGAGGATTCATGCAGGAGGGAGTAAAAGGGAACAAAGAAATTCCAAAGGGGTCAGTGCTGTGTCCTAACGGCATGGGAGTTTATCACTCCTGTCTGGTATTCTCGCATCCAGCTTATCTTAACAATTAATCAGGGCCTAACTCCCTCAGCCGGTTCTCAGCGTCCGGGGCTATTTATCTCCGGGGACAGCTTCAAGGTCTGCACTTCCCCGTGCAGGGCTGGTAATTTTCCACTGCCCTACATTCCCCACTGCTTCTAGTGACCTTCTCTGGTCAAATCCTTGACTAGCCGATCTGCAAGCAAGCAAGCAAGCGCAATTTCCAAAAGCCAAAGGTCAGCGGTTAGCAAATGCTCCTATACTGGGGATTCCCCTACCTGGGG